ATCTTGACATGTGACTTTTGGGATGTGCTCCTTTAATGGGAAAGCTTGAAAAGCTGGGACTTGATGAATTAACGACCTTCTGTAGAAACAGGTAGATGGGGAAGCTGAGACTTGGCTTTGTGAGGGTCACATGCTGTACCCATGGCCTGCTGTCTGTTGTGGTGGCATGGTGTTCTCCTCTGTAATAAACCCATGGGATTCTGGCTTTGTATGTGTTGAAAGAAACAACAAACCGAACCGTGTAGCATGGGTAGGCCTGCAGGGGTTTTGACCGAATACAGTAAACGGAAGGACTCTTCTCCCAAGTAACAAGTGATAGAACAAGAGGTAACAGCCTCAAGCTGCACCAGGGGAGGTTCAGATTGGATATTAGGGAAAATTTCTTCATCAAAAGGGTGCTCAGGTATTGGAGCAGGCTGCCCAGGGCAGTGGTGGAATCGCCGTCCCTGGAAGTGTTCAAAAAACTCTTTTGATGAGGCCCTTGGTGACATGGTTTAGTGGAGGACTTGGCCATCCTGGGATAATGGTTGGACCTGATGATCTTGAAGGTCTTTTCTAGCCTAAATGGTTCTGTAATTCTGTGATTTTCATATCTATGAACCCCCATCTTAAAAGCAGAATTCAGTACCTGAGAGAAATGTTTGTGGATGCATTAGTTAATTCTCGGCTTAAGAGATAAAAGAAACATTATTTTGCCTTCTTTTAATTTTTAATTATTATTCAAACATCTTATTTTTGTGGAAAATAATTTTATTAAGTGAAAGCTAACTCATTATAATGCATAAGCAATTCCCAGCCTGGGCCTGGATGCATTATTATTGTTGTTACTCTTAGGGCAATAGTGCAGTACTGAAGAAAGCTGTAGGTTTGTAAAATATTCAAGGCAGAGATGTGGCTGTACAACTTGTAGGCAAGAAATGGGCTCTTAATATTTTAATATGCAAAGTTATGGGGTGTTACTTCTGCACTTGCCTCATTTTGCTTGTTTTAAAATAATAATTCTTAGCACATACCTTAGTTTTTTTAATATATTCCCATCTGTGGGCTGTCTTGTGCCATTGATTTTAAGCACTTGTTGTTCTTAATAGGGAAATCTACTGATGTAAAAAAAAAAAGTCAGTGGTGTGACATGGCTTGTTAAGAGATGTTATTTTGATATTAAGCCATTCAGGTAGCAGTTTCCAAGACCCCCTGCAGAAGTGGGGCCTCTTGTTGCTGTGCTTGGGTGATGGGCACTGGAGTCGTCTGAGTTGCCAGGTCCTTGATGCACATTTTTCCTCTCCCCCTTCTTTACTGGAATGAAGCCTGTGGCATACCCCTGATGCGAGGCACAGCATGTTCCCAGTCTGGATAATTAGCAGTGGAAAAGTCGTTCTCTGCTAAAACCTTCCATTACCTGCCTGAAATGTGGCCCTATGCGTTAGGCTAGGCTAGCTGTAGAGGACAAAAGCAGAGAAATGAAAGGTCAGAGGTAGGTACCATCCTTGCAGGATAAGAGGAATAACAGAGTGCTGGGAATTTAATCTGATGTCTGTTTGTCTTTACTATCCATTGCAGATAAGGACACAGCTCATTGAAAGCAATTTTTTTGGGAGAACTCGCATGGGAAGTACGCAACAGCTTATGATGTGCTTGTTGATAACTTCAACTTCATGGGTGACAGGAATTTCTAGGGACCAAGTTTCAAACCCGTCTGTCTGCGCCTTCAGTTTCAGGACTCTGACTCATATGGGGGAGCAGGTTAAAAGTTGTATGGAGCAATTATTTTCCATGCTGCCTGCCTCATCCTGCTGACAGAGTTTGTGCTGCTGTGCGCCCAGGGGGGACTGAATGTCTGTGGAGCAGCTCCGGAAAAGCTGGGGTTTTAAGAGCTGTAAAGAAGCAAGCCTTGCTTCAGAGGCTTGGTACTGATGCATCTTAAAGTTAAAGCACTCAGTTTTGTCTCTGAATTTGTTATGAGGTGCTCTGCTAATACAGTAGCTTTTTCAAGAATCTAAAGTGGGCTGTTATGTAGATGGTTACCGAGCCAACATGTTGAATACCCCTGTGTGTTGTGTGCCCGTTCTGCTGCTCAGTTGATATGTGCTGTTATCTCAGTTAGACTTCCTATTTGGCTTTTTAATAAACAAAGAAAAAATCCAGGGTCCCATTTGACTGAGATGACACTACGAGTTTGAATTACTGCTCTTACAATGCTCAGTAGTTGGGAATCAGACCAGTTCCTCTCTGAAATGAATCTCACCAGGAGTTCACAGGGACTTGGGGCATTTGTTAAAAAAGGAATGAAAAGTTGCTTATAGGCATTTTCTTGCCACCATTGTAGGTCTGAAAAGTGAAAGCTGGTCTCAGAATTTATGTAATTTTGGTAGCAAGGGCTGGATTAATCTGCTCACTATTTTCAATGCTCATTCCACCACAGTTTATTTTGGGTCATTTAATTTCAACAAGGCTTGATCTGTTTACAGTGTTTTCTATAGGAGCATGACAGGGACACACAGCTCTTTTATAGCACGTTCACTGCTAAACAGGAGCTCAAAAAAAAGGAGGCACAGACACGAGTAAGTTCAGGGAGGACAGTACATTTTTGTATGGTTGGATTATTTTGAAAGTTTTCTGAAATAACCAGTCTTTTGTGCCCTGTGGGTTGCTCCTCAGAGCTTGAAGTGATGGTATGTATTAGCCATGTGCTTTCATTACGGAGGGCTGGCTGAAGGTACTCTTCAGGCTGAAGGTACTTCGAAAGCCACTGTGGTTGAGAGCTGGTGCTCTCAATCCTTACCAGAGGAGCACTTTTGTTTCCATAGGTTGAGACTTCCACTAGGTAGTTTCTTTTTATTTTGCCTTTTTAATTTTCAGGTTTGCTGTATGAACCATTCGTATGCAAAATAGACTAAGGTTAAATAGATCTCAGTTAAAAACATCTTAATCAGTTTGCCTCATCAGCCAAAACAAAAGCATGTGCTCATTGCCTGTGCTGAGCATTCTCCAATTTAACATTATGAAGGTGGTGGTGGCCTTGTTCTCCCTAAATAGAAAAGCCAGCCATCTTCGCTGTCCGTCAAATCATGACTATTTCTGGTTCTGCTCATGCCAGCTGACGAAGTAGCATTCGTTTTGTGTAGTTCATTGAACGAGGCAGCATTAGTGATTCGCACAGTGGAAGTCAGAGGGAAGGCATGATGTCCTGAGAATGGCTGTATCTATATCTATAGCAGATATAAACAGCACCAAGCACTGCTCCTGAGGAATGAGACTGGTGGGTTTTTCTTAAATTTTTCGCTTTCTTGAATTCTTCTGGCTTCTGCCATTTAGCATACTCTAGGCACAGTTCACAAAGAGCTGTTCCCAGTCGTTTAATAGTGTGGAAATAGCTGTCTGCCTTTACATTGGCCTCAGTACAGGAGAACCTTCCTTCCTGAACGTGTTTAACTCACTCCTGCATAGGTAGTTAATATCCTCATAGCAGATTAGAGGCAGAATCATCAGTGTTTTGATGTCTGAGTAAGAAGTATAACATGAACGCTGTTGTTCTGGGACATTTGAAGCATACTGAAGATTTTGTAGCAGTGTGTATGCGTGTGTATGCATACACAGAGTCAGTGTACATTTGTACACTGTGGTGTTCTTGAATAAGGATCTGAATGTTTTCTTGGCTATAGGAGGATATTCCTTCTTTGACTTAGATTGTAAAGCCCTTATACCAGTGAATGGAAAGCTTAAAAAGCACATTTAAAAAATGTCTCAATTTGGAAGCTTACCTTCTACAAGTTGAGCGTGTCAAATGCAGCTTGACTAATGCTGTAGGACCTCTGGTCACAGCTCTTAAAATTTAATGTCTGTTTGTGAGCCACGTCATCAAGGAGCCTCTGATCTCATCAGGTCCTGCCTTGCAGCTGCACAGCCTGCTGGTGCACCTTACGGTTTCCTTTTCTGGGGGAAAATGTATCGGTGCGTCTTATGCTACTTTGGCTACATTTTGGTCAGCATGAAGTGCTTGTAGAGGTGTGCTCCGTGTCCATTTCCTCCAGCAAAAGCCACGTCAGAGGTGACTACCCACCCATATTTTTGTTGTCTTTTATTGTCTCATAATAGCCTAACAATTCCTGCTTTCAGGTTGATCCAGGAGCTCTCCTTTTGCTTTGGAGATTTAGCTCCATGCACTGCCTCTACATTTAGGCTGCAAAAGTACTAGCTTGGCTTTTGTTCTTCTATACTTTAATGGAAATAGTTCAGAGTTATGCTGATGTAATAAAAACAGGAAGCCAGAAGGCAGTGAATTGGAATAAGGGTGAACGTATGAGAGAGCACAAGTAGAGAGTAGCCACTTTAGATCCCTACTGCCATGAACACAGAATTATTTTTTAATATAATGCACTTAAAAGGTGCCTTTTGCTTAAAGAAGGTTTTAATTTTTGTAGTTAAAAAAAAATTAAATTGAGCAGGGTCTTGCGGAATTACTTTGGGGACACTGTGTAAATACATGTCACACACAAATAAATTGGAAGATCTGGTGGAAGGTGTCTCTACCCACGGCAGGGGGGGTTGGAACTAGATGATCTTTAAGGACTCTTCCAACCCAAACCATTCTGTGATTCTGTGATATTAAAAATAAAATAAATTTGTTATTCATAATGTAATGTTATTATGAAAAACATCTATGTTATCGTAACACCAGGTACTCTAACCAAGATACCATGAGATATAGTTTGGGCAGTCTGGGTAATACTCAGGGTGATGGCAGTGATCTGTACTTGACAATGAAAATACTGTTTCAAAATCTCCTTTTTTTTTTTTCATGGCTAATAGCCTTAATGATCAGTCAGAAGCAGTGGGCTGAGGCAGAGCTCAAGGCCATCAGCTCCTCCCAGCCTGCTACACAGTTCCCAGGAAACACCCTGTATTTCATTAGTTCTTGCTTAGTTTATGGTGTAATATTTTGCTTGAAGGCATTAAACCATCATCAAAAGCAGCAGACCGATTAGCGTGATTTCTTTTTCCAGGGTCGTTGTACAAGGGAGAACTGCAAGTACCTTCATCCACCAACACATTTAAAAACTCAACTGGAAATCAATGGCAGGAACAACTTAATCCAACAAAAAACTGCAGCAGCAATGCTTGCCCAGCAAATGCAGTTCATGTTTCCGGGGACACCACTGCAGCCAGTGGTAAGTGTATTTCTCTGATGGTGTTAATGGTAAGTAAAGTTGAAGTACAAGACTATATTGACCTGCAAAAGTTCTCTAAACTGATGTCAATAAAAATAGTCCCCATTCTGTTGACTTAAAGAATTGCTGAGATTCTAGAGATATGTTCATTTATAATTTGCATTTGAAGACGTAATAAAGTACTGCTGTAGATTTGATACATTTTTTTATCCCAGAATAATTTGCATTTTTTTCCTGTTTTGTTTTGTTGGGCTCTTTCTTTTCCTTCATTCAGTTCATATCAGGTTTAGTCCAGATTAGCAAGGTTTTTACCTCTAATCCTTCTGGAAGTGAAAATTTGCATCGTAATAATACTTTGCTAGTAAACTATGTGAGTAGGAGTCTGTGGTTTAAAACAGTATTTAATCCCAAAAATGTCATTATTCAGGGAGCATTTTCTTACTTACCAGAGAATTACTGGTGCATGCACTTTACAAACTGAGCATTTTATCCTAAAGTAATGCATATGGTGCCTGGGACACTTCAAATGCAGAAGGTAACATAAAACTGGTCTTGCATATGTGAGCAGCACCTTTGGATGTACATTAAGATGATCATTGCTCTGGACTGCCCTTGCAGTTGAGTTCCTCACTGTACCAGGCTTCAAAAGCATGGTTAGGCAAGTAATCTGAATCAGACTTTTCACACATGGCTACTAATGGTGTTTTCTCAATCTGAACGCCTAGTCTAAGGTATCTCACTGGAGTGGGATTTCTTTCTCTAACTTGAGGCATCTGGAGTCTTGGCATCAACTTCTGTGTAGGGCTTCCATGGTCCATTTACATTTTATCAAAAGTCATAGGCAATTCTATTACTATTTGCTTGATTTGTTTCAGACATCTGCATTCAGATTATATTATTCGGGCTTTTAAGTGCCTTTGTCTTTCCATGGGCTATCACAGGAGCCAAGTGTAAGCATCTCAGAGAAAAACATCTGTATTTGGTAATAGGAAGCTCACCCCAGGTGCCCCTTTCAAATGTGTTTTTACATTTGAAACATCTGCTGTAAGCTGGGAGGCATGAACAAAAATTGGGTGTCAGGAGTCCCTGGATTTCTGGTGCATATTCGTCAAAATGTAACTTGGTATACTGGTATAATGTGTTTTCATATTTCCTGGGGTTTTACTGCTTGAGTTTTCACCAGAAAACTTCTTGATGAAGTAATAGATTCCACTTCTTAGTAGGGTAAGAAAAATTGAAGTGGCAGAATTATACTTTTTTCTAGTCACTCATGTCATCATTTGAAGTTTACAATTTCATTGACGTAATGCCTTCTGTACTGACTGCTGTGATAAAAGTGCCGTATTTTGTTTCTCTGTCTCACATAAACTGCCAGATTAAGATGACTCAGCCTTGACCAAATGGATAAAAAGTGACAGAAAATTCCACAGAAGTCATTTGACGTGTGGTTTTGTTCTTAAAATTATATTTGGTACAAAGCTGTTATTTATATTTTACATAACACATACTGTCCTCAACATAGTTGAACCGTTGTTTCATATAAATGATCATTATTTCCCTCCAAAGTATTTAGCTCATACTTTATATATGAACTGGGCTGTTTGATACCAAGCAGTTTTGATCTCTGATAAAAACAGGGCAACATTCATTTTTAACTCTCTAGGGCAGGTAGACGCCATTTCCATACAGTTGGGTATTCTGGCTAATCTGCTGTTCAAAGCACCTTCTTGGTACTAACTCACATTCATTTATAATTAGTAATTGGTCCCAAAGGAAAACAAAAAAACAACACAAAATAAAACCAGAAATAAACGTTCTAACTCCTATGCTTTCTCTTTGGTATTTTCTATATACCGTGCATGGCTTTTTGCCTTTTGCCAACGGAGTTCATGCAAGCCACCTTGAGGAGAAAGACACTCCTCCTCCTTTAAGTGTTTTTAAGTCTTTCCATAGTGTTCTGCTGTTGTGTGATTCGTTTCTAGCTGCCGGCTTATTTGGGAACTTAATTTCTGACAAAGCTAATCTGAGATGTGTCCTGTTTTACTTCATAATTTTTCCTCATTTATAATTACAACTTTGCTCTCTGGGGTAAACATCAGCTCTTGCAGAACTAAAGTACTTTCCAGATCTGACTGACCATGGTGATGTTCTTCCTCCACCCCCATGGAGCTGGTGATAACAAGCCCACCATTCTGCCTTGGTAGTGCTGTGTTTCAGCACCACACAAGTGCTCTTTCTTCTGGTCATGGCTTCACTGACTCACTGTAGGAAGGCATGAAACAGATATATAGACCCGTATCATTCCTTCCAATCAATCTTTTTTGTAAGATGAACTCTAGCTAAACCTGAATAATCCCTTTCTAAATATTGTGTCCAGCTGAGATTATAATATTTATTCTACTTGCCACTGGTGACAGCTGAGCAAACAAACATTTGCAAAGGTGAGGTTTTTCGATGTGCGGGCCAAAGTACCATATAATTGCAGGAGGTGGCAAAATACAGCATGCAAACAGATAGAAGTTACATGACAAATAGCTTGTTATATATACTCTTATTAGAAATATGTCTTTAATATAGTTAATAATGCTTCACCTATGAAATCTGGTACTTTGAAAAATAGCCTGTTTTCCCAAGAAAAACGGGTATTGAGAAAAAGCAGTAAAGTCTATGTTACCACTCTCAGATGTGTAAATAAACCGGCAATGTAAGCTGGACCTCCATAGAGATTCAGGTTCAAAGTACAACTTCCTTTGCATCAGCAGCCTCTTTTCCAATAACAGAGCTACAAAGGCGGTTCTTCGTATGCTGCTGGAATACGTAACATGATTAAAAGAAGAGAGAATGTTGTGTGTTTTGGCAGCTGTTTGAAATCTTTTCATTAAGAAAATGAATCAGTGCCAGAAAGAACATGCAAAAGGTGACTAGTAAGCTCTTCATCTTGGTCTGTGTTTTCCTTTTGCAGCCCACATTTCCAGTGGGTCCCACAATAGGAACGAATACAGCTATTAGCTTTGCTCCTTACCTAACGCCAGTTACACCAGGAGTTGGCTTAGTCCCGACTGAGATCCTACCCACGCCGCCTGTCATTGTTCCTGGAAGCCCACCGGTTTCAGTCCCCGGTTCAACTGCTACCCAGAAACTTCTCAGGACTGATAAACTGGAGGTACTGTAGACACCGTGGTGACTAGAAATACATTCTCTGTTAGGCTGTGTGAAAGAACCTGGAGGGACCAACTCTATTGTTTTAGAAACGATGCTTAAATTTAGTTGCTACAAATAAAGACCTTGTAGCCAGGAAGGATTTCTACACTTGCAGCCAGGGGTAATTAAACAGTTATTTTTAAGGTAGTGCATTTGCTTGAATTTAATGCATGGACATCAACACAAATTTTCATCTTTCATAAAGTTTATCATCTCCAAGATACCTGAAGTATACATGCCCATAAAGTTATGCCTTGATGAAATATCTAACACGCACATTTTTATTGCAGTGCTAATTCTGTCCTGGGTTTTATGCATTGATATTAAGGGAATTTTATAGGATTGTGGATGGATATTAGGGGAAGGGTATAGCCCTTCATCCTCGAGCTACAAATGGAGGTGTTGAGTGTTACCAACCCTCCAGTAGGCTGGAGCCAGCTACATGCATAGCCTCTCTGGTGTTGATGGATCTCCATATGGCTTGGCTCAGTGGCATCTGTCATCCAAGTACATGAGAAGGCCAAATAGCTGTTGCAAGAATAAATGTATTTTCCCAAAAGCCTAAGCAGCAGTGTCTAGAGCACGTTCCTTCTTAGAAAAATGAGCGTGTTCATTCTGCCTTGTTTTGGAAATTATTTTTAAGGATGCTCTCCATCATTTTGTATGTAGACTCCATAAAAGATACAATGCATCTGATGCATATCTTCCATGGGTCTCAGCAAGAGGAAGTCCTTCCCTACCAGTGGAGCTGCAAGACCATAAAGTATAGTCAGAAAGGGGCTGAGTATTTTGTGATTCCCAGCTAGTTTTGCAGGGGCAGTTACCTCACTAAATATCCTTCTCAGGTGTTTTCCAGACAGGAAGAGGGAAAGGCATTTCCTATGTCAGGTTCATTTAGCTGTGGTACCACAGAGTTACCCGAGGAGCCAAGCACATAAGGGTAAAATAGATGCATTTCTCTCTCCCAGAAGAAGATGGAGGGTTTATTAAATTGAATTCATGGAAAAACTTGACCTAAGCACGGAATGGGGGTAGGTCTGTCTTTTGAGGGTGTGGGGGTCTCCCTGCTCTTTCCCATTGTATCAGGCTCTTCCCCTGCAACACATGTTGTTTTGCACGTAGGTGTGCAGGGAGTTCCAGCGGGGAAACTGTGCACGTGGAGAGACTGATTGCCGCTTTGCGCATCCAGCAGACAGCACAATGATTGACACAAACGACAACACCGTAACCGTGTGTATGGATTACATAAAAGGTCGTTGCATGAGGGAGAAATGCAAGTATTTTCACCCTCCTGCACATTTGCAGGCCAAAATCAAAGCGGCGCAACACCAAGCCAACCAGGCTGCAGTGGCAGCCCAGGCAGCTGCGGCAGCTGCGACTGTGATGGTAAGTGCTGGCGTATATGGCTGCCTTTTCTTTGACAGATGCTCTTTGATGCCTATTTTGCTTCAGTTTAATTCTGTTTGCTTATACTTTCTTTTCTCTTTTGCCTCCTTTTTCTTTTTTTTTGTTTTTGGTGAAAGTTGATATTTTATAAAATTATTACTATTGCTTGATGGGAAGAAGCACTTTTTGATTTATGCCCTTATTTTGATGCTGTATTTCTATCTAAGACAGTGAAGCAAATGACATTCTATACCACTTCTGTTCTCTGCCTTGATTAGGTTTGTTAGATTTATCCTTAGTATTTCCAAACAGAAACAAAACTGTTAATCTTCGATGTCCTCTGGAAAACAGGGGCACATATGCTGGTTTAGCTCTTTTATGACAGATACCCATGTGGAAATTTGGAAGAAAAGGAACAAAGCAAAGAGAGAGCTTTTGCCTCAGAGATAGGTAGCAGAGAAGAAACCTGTATTAAGATTCAATTCACCTCATCTTAGATGTCAGTCAGATGTCTGAGCCTACCCTATGCAACTTGGTCTCAGTTTTCAGGTAGTGGAGAGAAAACAGCACATTCATCTGATCTACCGTTAGTGCCTGTCTGAGGATGAGAAAGAAGTGCGCTCTGTAGATACACATCTATTCCTGCTGACTAAAAGTTGTTGCCTATATCTTTTACAACTTTGATTAGATGAATTTTCAGCTTAGAGACTTATCTTGCTTCTCCCACTATCACGGGCAAGTTATTTGAATAACAGAGTTTTAAGTTGTAAACTAAAATGGGAAACGTTAAGAAAAAACCTAGTAACTACAATCAGAAGTAAAGAGATTGAGGGCTTTCTATTTTCAGGTATTTTAAGCTCTCACTTGAAACTGTTAGGACAGGTCAGCCTATCTGTTTACCAGTATTGGACCTCTCTTACTGTTGCTACCAGGAAAGCTGATAAATTTAAAGATTGTATTGGTAAAGTTCAATAAATCGAGCATGCAGGATCTGACTTGGGAGATAAAATTTTGCTGGCAGCAAATCACAGAGTCATTGTCCTCACTGCTGGCTGTGGACGAATAATTAAGCAGATGTGGTTTGTGGACTTGTGGGCAGTGCATACAATAGTTACAGACAATACAGTTATTCTCTGGGTAAAAAGCCTACCAGAAACACAATACAGTACAGTATATAACTACCCCAAGCTATTGTATGTAGCAAATTAGCAAAGGGGAGATTTTTGAGGGACACAGAGTAAGTTATGCAAGAAAGTAAACCACCAAACAGAAGAGCATTTCTTAAGTTTTAGTGTGCTTTCTCTTATAGTATCCCCAAGCTCTGTTTCGAATTGGGTGATTTTTACTTAAACTTTCCTGTGTTTGTATAAATTGAATACTCTCTGGAAATTAAAGCAAAGGAGACTAGGTTTTTATTCTAATTAACTTCTATTGGGCAATATTTTTTGTCCATTTAGAGAATGTAGTATTTCTAGGCAGTATACTAAGGAAGAAAGGAGAGAGATGAGGGAAATCATGGTTTTGCATTTCAGTAATGGTTGGATATGTATCCTGTGATTTTTAATAAGGCATAATTGGAGTTGTATTAGCTCAAAGCAAGATGAAGCATGTTTGGAACATATAGAATTTAAATGTTAGGATTCTAGTGTCACAGTAGAAGGCAAGGATTTGTAATTCAAGGTAACTTTTTTCCAGAAAAATATGTACAAAATACTTTAATGGCATATTACCGCCAAAGAGAAAAGATTCTTTACAATCCAATTATTTGTGTTTAATATAAATTTTAAACCATCAGTTAGAGTGAAGGAAAAATCACTGGACTAGCAATAACAACAGAAAAGTGATAGAAAAGACACATGCCTGCAAGGCCACCCAAGAACAACCAAGGATACTGAGTTGGATGTAGAAAGGAAAAGTAAGGCAGAAATGCAAATGCTTACTTGTAAGGTTCACTTTGCAGGATGCTCCCAAGTTTAAATTGTGGCTGAGAGGTTTTCCTTCCTGGGGGAGCTGGCTGCATTGCTGTGGTCCAGGGGGTGCTCATACAGGTGAGCACTGCAGATAGGGTTAGAGTACTGTAGGCAAAGCTCCTAAGACCACTGAAGTTCAGTGAATCCTGCAGTCTGGGACCTTGCAAAAAAGTCCCTGTCTGTATTTCTGTACACTGAAGTTCAGGAATTTTTACTCAGCTAACTTAGGTGGCCTAATCATTTGAAGTAAAAAGAAAGGAGAAAGACACTGTGAAAGAGGTTGTAGACCATGCAGCTTGAATGTGAAGTGCATTAGGAAACAGTTTCATCTGTCATTATACTTGGGGAATTCCAAATATTCATACGGTGCATCAGACAGCGTGAAAAGTCACTGAAGAATGTACAGCCTAAATTAAAATGTGACTTCATAGAATCATAGAATAGAATCATAGAATAGAATCATAGAATAATTAGGGGTGGAAAGGACCTTAAGATCATCTAGTTCCAAACCCCCTGCTGTGGGCAGGGACACATTACACTAAATCATATCACCCAAGGCCTCATCCAACCTGGTCTTGAACACTGCCAGGGATGGAGCATTCACAACCTCCCTGGGCAACCCATTCCAGTGCCTCACCACCCTTACAGGAAAGAATTTCCTCCTTATATCTAACCTAAACTTCCCCTGTTTAAGTTTTAACCCGTTACCCCTTGTCCTATCACTACAGTCCCTAATGAAGAGTCCCTCCCCAGCATCCCTATAGGCCCCCGTCAGGTACTGGAAGGCTGCTATGAGGTCTCCACGCAGCCTTCTCTTCTCCAGGCTGAACAGCCCCAACTTCCTCAGCCTGTCTTCATACGGGAGGTGCTCCAGTCCCCTGATCATCCTCGTAGCCCTCCTCTGGACTTGTTCCAACAGTTCCATGTCCTTTTTATGTTGAGGACACCAGAACTGCACACAATACTCCAGGTGAGGTCTCACAAGAGCAGAGTAGAGGGGCAGGTGATCCTAATAGCCACTCTAAGGTTGCTTAAATACAATTTCTCTGTCATGAATCTATACTGACTCCTTTCCATCACCTTCTTGGCTTTCATGCTGAGGAGGGACTCTTCATTAGGGACTGTAGTGATAGGACAAGGGGTAATGGGTTCAAACTTAAACAGGGGAAGTTTAGATTGGATGTAAGGAAGAAATTCTTTACTGTGAGGGTGGTGAGGCCCTGGAATGGGTTGCCCAGGGAAGCTGTGAAGGCTCCATCCCTGGCAGTGTTCAAGGCCAGGTTGGACAAAGCCTTGGGTGACATGGTTTAGTGTGAGGTGTCCCTGCCCATGGCAGGGGGGTTGGAACTAGATGATCTTAAGGTCCTTTCCAACCCTAACGATTCTATGATTCTATGAAAACAGGCTCCAAACACATAGAATGCTTTTAGCTTTGATCAATTGCTTTTCCAGGGACTGTAATGAGGCTGACCAACCTGTCATTCCTCAGATCTTCCTTCCTGCCCTTTTTGAAGACAGGAGTTTAATTTACTTTCTTGAAATGTTTAGGACCCCCTGCCCCAGTCATAGAGACCTTTCAAAGATAATGAAGAGTAGCTTTCCAGTGACATTGGCCAGCTCTCTCAGCACCCCCCAGTGCATCCTATCAGATTATGGGTTTGTGTACATCCGTTTTGTTTAAATGTTCTTTATCCTCTGAGGGTAAATCTTTTTCACTTCAGACTTTCCCACTGGTCTCCCACTGGCCTGAAGGCCAGTCTTAGCAGTAAAGAGGTGGAGGTGATACTCAGTACCTCAGCCTTCTCCATGTCCTGTGTCACCAGGTCGCCTGCCCCATTCAGCATCAGGCACACATTTTCCCTTGTCTTTCTTTTGTTGCTGATACAATTGGAGAAGCCCTTCCTCCTGTTCTTCACATCCCTTGCTAGATCCAGCTTCTGTGGTCTTTGGCTTTCCTAACCCATCCCTGCATGCTCAGGGTGTGTCACTGTTCCTGCCAGGCCAACCGTCCCTGCTTTCACCTCTTACGTGCTCCCCTTCTTGTGTTTGAGTTTAGTCAAGAGCTCCTTGCACATCCCTGCTGGCCTCTGCTGTGTGGATCTTGTTTGTATTCCAGGAGACGCTACCATACCAATGTCACATTTGGCAGACAAATACTGTGCCACAGTATGTCTGATCATTTGTATTACTATCTTAATTTTCTTTCTTTAGCCTTTTCCTCTCAGTCTGCAGCTATTGATTTTTCGGTTGTAGGAAATCAAATGTTGAGAAGGAGATAACCTGATGGGACAGAAAGAGATAAAGTAAGTTTTGCTATCAGGACAAAATGAAAAAAAAAGATGGGGAGAAAAATGGACAGTTGGTGTGAAAGCCTGATAGAAGTGGGAGGCTACATGGAAACAAGGTTGACAAGTAGGTTTAGAAACCTGTCAAGTTAAAGGCTTCAGTTTGGGAAAGCTATGAGACTGACCTTGCTGTGCAAGGTGAGGGGAAAGCCAGCAAAAAGGTTTGAAGTAGGTGAGGTTAAGAAGAGCATGGAGAAGAAGGGGAGCAAGGCAATCATAAACAGAGATAATAAGTGAACAAATGAGATCAGGTAAGATCTGCATTTGGATAAGAAAGGTAATTAACTGAAACTTATTGATGTTTCATTTGTGGACTTGATCATGGCACAATGCTGCATTGAGTCGTAATGCTTCACCTCCATGTAGATTTTCATCTGTGGCGGATGCAGAGTGGATCTGAGTCTATGCCCTGTGCTGATGGCATGATGTCCTCCCTGGGGGTACCCATGGTGGGTACCCACATGTTGGCTGCACAGCACCCCGAATAAATACAAGAAGGCTCTGCAGATCCTCTTTGCACCAGGTGTTTATTTTTATGCCCGAGTCTTGGACCCAGGCAGATGAACAGATCCTGTATACCAGGTTAAGTAATCCAGAAATGTGCTGAAAGAGAGATGGGTAGGGCAGTGGGAAGCCTTATGGAATGTAGGTGCCACAGAGACAGGAAAAATGAATAGATGAGGTGAGGGCTATCCAGCAAAATAAATTCCCAGTTTGTACTAGCTAATGCTGTGACCATGAGCTGTTTGTAGGCATTTTGTGCCTTATCCTCTCTTCTGAGTTTTTTCACTTTTGCTCCCTGTTTCCACATACTGGTGTCAAGGTAGACATAATCTGCATATCCTGAAAAGAGCTAAATACCAGCCTGTGTTTAAAAAACAGAAATAAAAATTCTGATTTCTAAGTAAATCTTTCCTTTCTAAAAGTTTGTAAGAATTATTTACACTATAAAACTAGAAAGTAATATTTCATATGAGAAGATTATTTACAGAATGCCATCCTATCAGCCATAAGTTTGATCTTACTGTGGAAGTATACGTAAATGTAAATGCTTATGTATTATGCCTAAATGCTGTATTAGAAAAAAAAAAAATAATGCTGGACTAGTATCATAACTCATACATTAATGCTTGCCTATGAACTGGAAGCAGTATTTTTACTCCCTGCTCCTGAAAGTTGTAGCAAAGTTTAGAAAAATATGTTTAAAATTCTGAAATACTTTTTTTCCTCTCAATATAATGTGGTAAGTTCCAAGGAAAAAAAAAAAGCTACAAAAATGACCCAGCTGTAGGGGGAAAAAAGGAATTAATGATAAGTTAGTGTGATACTATTTATTCTGCTTTGTATTGAAAACGGAGAACCTCTTTCATTTTGAAGCCCAAAGCTATTGAATGATTACACTTCTTCCAATTAGAAGACCCTCACCTTGCAAGCACTGATATTAATAACCTTTGTAATGCGTTACAACTTCCACTAGTGCTTTGTATTTGAAAATGTAGCCTTTCAAATTGATTTTTCCTGCTTTAAAATATGACTGAACTAACTTATCAGGAATTCTTGTAAGCTTATCCTTAAAACTTTCTGCCTCTCTGTGAAGTGTTTATACGATGCTTAATAGTGTCTGCAAGCTGCTGTTTTACTCAACTTTCCTGAATTTCAAACATCTATATTTTACTCTCTTATATGCTTTTAACTAAGGTATAGTAGATGCATTTTTGCTTCGGTACTAATTCGAAATGTAATATTCATTTCTTTAGAAGACATTTTTGTTGTTGTGCATGCCTAGTGTTTTGTATGTTGTATATTGCATTCAGAATATTTTTTTCCTTCTCACCTATCCACAAATGCAATGCCGTTCCCATGATGCACCTCTGCTTGCTGTTTACCTGTATGTTAATTCGCTTGAATCCCATTGGCCCACTGCCATCATGTGCTCGCTGCCTGTTATTAAAAGACTCAGTCGACTGCCAAAGCAATGAAGCGACCTCTCGAAGCAACTGTAGACCTGGTACTTTGACCTTTCACCTTTTGCTTTGCATGTAGCTTTTGTTTAATTTATTTTTATATTATTTTGTTATTATTTTTTTTTCAGAGAAGCAACTAATGAAATTCGTATCGCTTTACTTTTTGAACATCAACTGGAAATGATTTCACGTACTTGTTAATTTACCAGAAGCTCTATTTATCCATCTCATTCTCATATGTAATAAACGCAGACAATTTCGTTTGGTTCCTAACACAGTTTCATTTTTTTAAATATCCTCTCATGAAAAGTCGAATTGAGATAAAACTGCTTCTGTAATTGAAAACGCTTAACGTAATCCATTAATCTGTATAATAATAGGAAGCGATATTTAAATTTTAAAAAGCAAAAATACTTGGCAATGAAACACAAGTGGTTTTTTCTCCCTGTAATATTTGAAAGCCTTTTTAAAGGCAGTGCCATTTTTGTTGCTTTAAAGGCCTTTCTTTTCAGTAGTTGTGCTGCTACAGTTTTAGGTTAATAGTACCATGCTTTTGCTATCAATAACAAAATTTCACTCATTTTACATTGCTGTGCTTGGAGTTAATATGCATGGCAAGGCATCTTTAGCTGCTTTAAAAAATAATAAGTTTTTGTATTTATGTACGTGTTATGGACGCCACCTGAAGAACGATGCCATTTTAACTAAATTCCTTATTTACAGGCCTTTCCTCCTGGTGTTCTTCACCCTTTACCAAAGAGACAAGCACTTGAAAAAAGCAATGGTGCCAGTGCCGTTTTCAATCCCAGTGTCTTGCACTATCAACAGGCTCTTGCCAATGCTCAGTTGCAGCAACATGCATTTATCCCGACAGGTATGTTGTACCCACATTGAACCAATTTTGTGTTCCTTAGGTAGCCTCCATGCCAGGCGTTTGCACTTAACACAAGGTTTTATTATGCTCCCTGTCCTACTTGAGGTGAAGTCTGCACAGGTATTTACACATTGGTTTAATTCCTCCTGCAAAGTATGAGAATTCAAGCAGCAATTTCAACATGACAATAGGCTACTTTTCACATTTATAGCCTCGTTCATCATTGTCCAGAGTTGCCCCTTTTTTTCCCACCTGAAATTGGCTGTATTCTGACTTTTACCTGCAAGCGCTCTCCTAGGAGATGAGAGTGCCAAATTCCATTAACAAAAACATTGGGAAAAGCATCATGTTTCAGGGATGCCATGGGAAATGTGCCATGGCTGAGGCGTATCCTCCTGCTCCCTTGGGTGCTGTTCTGCAGCTGTGGGGGTTACCCCATCTGCAAGAAGAGGAGCACCACCCATAACCTTCCAGTCTGTACCTGTGTGGAAGCACTGACAAAGCACGTTGCTCCTCGCAGCTGCACTGAAGGGCTTTGAGGCATCAGATGCATTTTCATGGTTTTCATTTTGGAATGCCACCAGCACTTTTCCTAGCATTTGTGCCTAATAGCTGGGGTCGCAGTTCTTCATAGGGGTGATCTGGAGAGAAGTGGACATAATCTGCATTTCAGTGCTCAGAACTATGTAAAAATCAGAGCATTCAGAAATGGCTTGAACTGCATGGTGGCTGGTGGCAGGGCTTCTCTTTAACATGGTGAGAGAAAGAATGTGCTAGGTGCTCATGTAAACAGTGACAGCGTAATCCTCAAAATTCTGCCAGTCACCCCAACTCCAAACTTCCGAAGTATCCTGCCTGATGAATTCTGTGCTTTCATTTGTAATTAACAAATTGCATATTTTAGTATCAGAATGTTATCAAGTGTGAACTTCCAGAATCATTTGAAACTATGTGTTTGCAAATGCGCTTGACATTTCAGCGATGTTATTTTAGTTTATAGAAATAATGTCGGTTAAACAAGGAATGAAATGCAGCACATGATGATTTCCCGATCTATCAGCATTTCCATATGTTTTTAAAGATAAAAACAAACACAGATGGCTTTGACTTCATGGAATTTTTCTGTAAGGCCTGAGTAACAACCTTGGAGCCTGCCCCTGTATTTATAATAGTAAGTTATAGCATGCCATATTTTTAGCACTTTGGTGCACCGGAATATCTGAGGCAGAAAACATACTGACATTTATGGGAGTGTTTGAAAAAAAGGAATTAATTGTGAGACTGCCTATCTGGACATGAATGGAAGACTGCCCTGTGCTTACAAACATACAGAGATTTCCTCAAATTTATTTTACTTTGTAACCCTAAGAATTTGCAGTATGATATGAATTATTCCTCTCTTAAGCACTCACTCCCTTTCAGAGCTTATCGCTATTATGTGCAATTACCAAGGTTTTAAAATTAACTATGGAAAATACAGTAAACCTTTTTAAGTGAAATAGCATTTGGATATTTTCCAGACTTTTGGAGTGCTCATGCTTCCTTAAGTAGCTTATTCTTTGTGCTTTTTATTGTCAATTACTCTTTCCAACCAATCAATGGTTGTAATTATAGTTTTATATTACAAATTTCTGATGGTAGGAAGGGTGGATCTTGGAACAAAACCTTAAGGGCCGTGTCGTTTGCAAGCCCCAACACAAGTGCATGAAGAAAGAAGATACAGAGAGCTAACGTAGCAGATGGAGCCCAAGCCCAGAGTAGAAAACCTTTCTCAAAGGGCTGAGCCTCCTGGCCCTTTGCAATGCCATAGGACCTATAAAGGATGTTAGAGAGAGGAGTGGGGTATGGGCGGAGGTTAGGAAAGGGGAACCCCCTCTGTGTGAGCGGGTGTCATGAGCTTTTTGTAAAGGTGTTACGTCTGATAGTCCCACATTTCCTGGGCAGGTTGGATTTGGTGAGTGTACGGGCTGTCATGCCACCTAGGTCTGTGGAGCAATGCATGATGTTATCTGTTGGATTTTAAATTATTATGTGATATTTTCTGAACTGGTACAATTTTCAGATGTGTTCCTTGTGTGTGTGTGTGTTGTTAAATTTTAAAAAAGTTTTGCTGCTGGAATATATATATAAAACTTAATTGTTTTATATAACTTCTCTGCTTTCTTAACCACTTGCTCTTCTAATAAAAAGTGTGGGGCTTGACTTAGCATGGCTTACCTCCAAAGTTCTGCACTTTGTTTGTTTTACATCAGTTTGATTGCTTTGTCACCTTTTCCTTATTGTTTGGTGAATGATCTTGAAAACAGCAGATCTTTTCTCTCTTCCCATTGCTGTTTGTTAGTATTTCTGTAGCCTCTAGAAGAGGAACGCTGTGTATTCTCTGGGGACTGTTCTTGGGTAAGGTCATTCATAGTTGCACTGCTACTGCTATGGCCCGATAAGGGTCTGTGGTAGTAATGAAGCAGGAATTGTAGAATCACAGAATGGTTTGGATTGGAGAGGACCTTAAAGATCATCTAGTTCCAACCCCCATGCCATGGCAGGGACACTTTCCCCTAGACCAGGTTGCTCAAAGCCCCATCCAACACTTCCAGAGATGGAGCAGCCACAGCTTCTTGGGCAACCTGTTCCAGTGCCTCACCAGAATACAGGAAGCGTATTTGACTTTGTATCAAATAGGCAAGTACCTGGGACTAGTCTCGTTATCTGCCTGCCTTTAAAATATGCTGCGTTTTCTCATTTGGTCTTCCTAGAAAGGTTAAAGGTAGATTAGGCATCAATCCTGAACTGCATGGCAGGCCAGCAGTCCTTCCAGAGCATCTCTTAGGTGCACTGCGAGCTTTTTGCTGTAATGTTACACACTTTGAGGTGTTCAGCTTGGGTAATTGTCAAGTAGTGTTTTCTTTTCTGAGGAGCACCTGTTCACCTCCGGCGTTGTGTTAAGAAAGAGTGTATTAACATCAGATGAGAACTCAGCAAAGCCCCTTCAGAACAGTATCAGCTAATTCCATTTTAACACCTTTCTCTGGTGTACATCAAACAGTTGGTTGATCTGTGCAACAGTTGAGCCATTTGAATTATGCAGTCAGTTCTAAAATTCCCAAATAATGTGATATTCAACCAACGATGTTTCTGTAAACAAAAAAAACCTGTTGCTGCAAAAGTACTAAGTGAAAGGATAAAAGCACTAAATGGAAAAGTTAGTGAAGTATCTTGTATATACACAGAAACATGCCAAAAGGCACACAGTATACCCAGGAGTTTAGTAAGAACATAATCACCTTTTTTGTGTTAAAGCAAAACTATGAATGACCTTACAGTTTCATTTAACTAACTTACTTCTCTGTGGTTATGCTTGAATCTCACTTTGAATGTTAACTCTAAACGGCTAACCTGTTTCTTCCCTTTATCCACTTTTTTCACCTATCATTGCATGACACGCAGGGTCAGTTTTGTGCATGACACCCGCTACCAGTATTGGTAGGTTCCCAATTTCTTTATTGATCTCTTTTTATACTGTATATGATGTATATTCACTTGTTCCAAAACTTCTAGGCAAGGATTAGCCACTGACTAGAATTAAAGGTTCGCTTGTCTTGTTGGTTGACTTTGCAGAGTGTCTAGCTTTGTAGATGAAAGCTGCAGTTTAGCTGTGGTATCACCTGCTATAACAACTACACTGCAAAAGCATAATACCATGAATTCCAGTCTGCTTTTCAGTTTTCAAACTTTTATTTATATTTTATATTGTCTAGTACTATAAAATCATAAAATACTGGAAAAAGCCAGCAAATTTCATCAGTGTTTAAAAGTTTCATAGTGGTGTGCCTATTTCTCCTTTTTGCTGTGTGTTAGAAAGTTTTATCAGCGTTTCCCAGAAATGTCTACTTTGATCCACAGAGGTTCTGTTGAAACCCATGATCTGAATCTCGCTCCTTGAAATATATTTACAGCTTGGAATTAACATTTGGGGCATAAAAAATGGATGTCCAGTGCAGTAGCCTGTAAGATTGAAAGCTAATCTTTCCCCTGTAGCTCTATCCCAATGATTTATATTTTTTGTGGGACAGATAAGCAGTTGAAGTAACAAGCCTTTAAAATATCAAGTTAGTAATTCTTCCACAAATTCAGTCTTAAAATGAGCAAAAGCAGCGACTTTCACCGAACTGACCTTGCTTTTCTAGATCGAACAAAGTAGTATTTAAATCAGGAAAATTATTATTATCCTTCTCCCAGTTTTTGCCTCAAAGCAGATGGTAATTTAACTCTGATAAAGACAAACAGTTTTGCAGCGGTAATAGAAAAAAACACGTAAATTGGATTATAAAGGAAGACAGTGAGTATCTGGCTTACTTCAAAATGAAGATACATGGATTCATTTTTCAATTGTGCCTAAAAATTAAGATAAATATTTATCAATTTTCTTCCCAGTGCAAACCAGTATGGGATTTGTTTAGAACTGTATTACGGAGTGCTTTATACTGATACCGGGAGAAAACGAATTGCCCATGTAACAGTTCTTAGGTAACAGGCTAGTTTGGTGGAGACCTCATTTGCACAAGTAACCTTCTTAGAGATAACACCCGCTGTTTCAGTGGTCCTTGCTCTTTTTTTTTTCTGGGAATCGCCGATTGTGTTGACAGCCTTCCTTTAATTGTACTTGTAATAAGCTATTTTCCCTTTTTTTTTTTATTTCTCCGCCACGCTTTCTCGCTTTGCACTGTGATTGCATGCCATCTGCCGGTTTAACCCATGACGATGGCTTGCCGCTCTTGATATTCACCATGCCAAAAATACCACTTCTCTTACCATAATGCTGCACCCTCCTGTTCATTGCTTCCATGGTTCCCCTCCTGAAAGTACCCATGATGCACAACGCTACGGCCGCCACTGTCTCTGCAGCAACAACTCCTGCAACAAGTGTTCCCTTCGCCGCAACAGCCACAGCAAATCAGGTTTGCTCCTTTTAAAGCTTTCTTTCACAAGATCCCGAACTCTAAATGAGTGCTGAGATTTTTATTTTAATTTTTTTTTAACAAAAAAAATTCTCCCAGAGAATTTTTTTTTTCTTTCTGTGTTTACCCCATCAAATTTTACTTTTTATTTTTAAGTCGTTTATAGCAAGTGTTTGTGGGACAGGTTGCACTTACTTAGAGTTAACATTTGTTGCAAATAATGATGTAGCTGTGTTTTGTGTTGCGATGTTTGTACCTAATTATTGTGTAATTAACCCAGCTGGAGTTAGAATCACCATAGTACTGGACTACTTTCAGAAGTCTGTTATTAACTCCTAAGTTCAAAAGGAAGATCATCGCAGGTTTATAATGTTCAGGTGTCTTAATGTAGCCTTCTCCATGTGGTGTGTGGAAGTGACTAACTTGCAAGCATGGAAGCTGTCTAAAATCACAGGCAGGACAAGGAAGATGAAAAAAAAAATAGAAACAAGACTGAATGATTTTTTGTAAATTAATGATCAAAACAGTAAATGCTAGTGATCAAAACAGCACTCAAGATAGTTATGTCTGTTTTATGTTTGTATGTGTATCTTAACATGAGAGTTATATTTCCCTAAGGAAGGATGCTCTTACAAAGAACACCTAGAGTTATTGACAGAGGCAGGCTGGGGAAGACCATACCTTCTCCTTTTCTTACGTGTTTTGTTATGTTAATGGCAGTCTTCATTTTGGTAGAGTTTTCTCCTCCCTCCTATAGGACCTGATTCCCAGAGAAGAGTATCTGTTTGCAGCTCAGAGTATGTAGCTTTGACTCCTCCATTGGGGTTGTTGAGATTCCCACCCCAATGTGCCCAGCATCTGGTAGGAGAGGGGTTTGCACAGCAGTTGGGTCACTCTGGCGTTTCTGTTACTTTGCCACCATGCTCAGGCACTTCCACCTGAGAACTGTTTTCCCTCAGGTTTTTAGAGGTCAGACTGAGGAGGAAGCAAGCAGATTTGCTTGTCGAGGGAAAGTAAAGGGCTATGTTCCCATCTTCTTCCCATGTGTTGCTCCTGCCCAGACCAACAAGCTAGTGCAGACTTGGTAGAAATGCTCGCCTCTTGATTTATTCTCCTCCACCTGCCAAGATATTACAAAGAAATCAATGAAAATGTTTTGCTTAATAATATTATACCAGTAGATTTTTTTTTTTTACTGTTGGTCCCAAAACTATGTAAGTATCCCATAGGAAAATAGAAGTTACCGCAAGAGTTTATAATAATTTGGAAAAATATACTACCTCTGAAATACACCCTACTTCCTTAAAGAAACACAAACCAGTCCCTTTTCTGTATTTTTTTTAAAGGGTTGTTTGCCAGCATTGTGGTGTTTGTGCTGCTAGCATTTTCATCAAGAGGGTTGTCATTTTGTGCGTTATTTGCTGCGAGCTAGCTTGTTTTAGTGAAAACCTGCTTGGGACGAGGAGGGGAGTGCAGCAGGCAAATGTTGTGTTTCACTGTCCTTCCCACAGCAGTGTCTGCAGCAGCAAATTGTTTGGTGGTATCAGTGCAGTTTTGTGTTCCCCAAGGGGCTTGAAGATGCCAAGGGACTATGGGAAAAGGGGAGGGGGTCACCTGGGGTCTCTCTCCAGCATGGGAATGCAGCCAGGGCAGCTCCACCACCTGTACCTCTGAGCGCCAGAGGGGCTGGTTGTGGCTGGAGTAGAATAAATACCCATACACCTACAAAAGGACCACTAATCAGTCTTTGTTTTCTTTAGTTAATAGGAATACTTTCACACGAGTAACTAGTGCCACTGGGGAGACGTAGGTGTGTTTTAATGCGCTTTCTCATCTAGCAGGATAGCAGGCTAAACTCCTCCTTTCCCACTGCAGGTTTTGTTTGCATTGGAGGATTAGAGCATTTTAAATGTAACAGGAGTTGTGGAAAGTGTCTGTCTGTATTTATTTAGTCGCATGCATCTCTGTGTGTGTATACACATAGCTCCATGCTGAAATTAAAGGATAATTTAACATGGGTATGGGTTTCCACTTGTTTACAAGTTTGGATTTCTGTTCGTCTGCTTTTCACGAAGTCCATGTTAGGGCAGGATGAATTGCCCTGGAAGGTTCTGTCGCTTTCTCTTGCCTGTGGAAAGAGCATATCTAGGTAGCAAAGCTCTGCACCACTGCATGAGGAGGAGACGAGTCCCACCCTGGCAGCTTTTCTCATTGGCTTCTGTAGTGTGTGCCATTCCTGTCTTTTTCTTCTCACTCCTGTCGTTGTGTTAAGTCATTGCAAATCTTTAGAAGTTACTGTAAAACTGTTTATTTGGAAGTAGTGAAAGTGGTAGTAGTCACTTCTTCTTTGTAAGGGGCAAATGTCCAAGATTGCTATTTACAGCCTCTTAAAAGTTGGAGGCAAAGCTACAATGCTGGAAAAAGCCCCTGTCGTGGTTTAAACCCAGTCAGGTAACTTGTTCACTCACTCCCAGTGAGTGGTGCCAAGCTGACAACAATCAAGGTCCGTGTTCGTCTCCCCCCCCCTCCCTGCACCGGGGCTCTCCCCTTCCCCGCTCCCGGAGGAACGGGGAGGAGGATCGAGAGAGTGCAACTCCTACGGGTTGAGACAAGAACAGTCCAGCAACAAATCACCACCGCTACTATCAGCTAAAACAATGATAAGGGAAAATAACAAGGGAAGAGAATACGATACCACCGGCCAAGAAAACGAGTTCCACCCGGAAGCTCCTGTCCTTCCGGTTAACTCCCAGTTACCCCCCACCCCGGGCATGACGTGCTGTGGTATGGAATACCTCCCCGGCTAGCCCGGGTCAGGCGCCCCGTCTCTGCTTCCTCACAGCTTCCCCTCCTCCCTGGCAGAGCATGAGCCTCACAGAGTCCTTGGTCAGGGTAAACATCACTTAGCAACAACCGAAAACATCGGCTTCACCAACGCTGTTCTCAAAACTAGAAGTCAAAACACAGCACTGCACCAGCTAACACAAAGGAAAAAACATGACTGCTACTGCTGAACCCAGGACATTATCCACCCCTTATTCCATACCATTCACGTCGTGCTCAGATCCCACATTTTCAATACACCATCGCTCTCCCACATATATACATCCATATACATACAGACCAAGAGGAAAAAAAATCATTTTCTTAGTGCATGGACCAATCCCTATAATGCTGCCGAGTCCATTCGGTCCATGATGTTCCAAGTTCATTCTCTGTTGGGATGATGGCTGGAGGGAAGTCAGGGCCAGTCGCTGGTGACCTGGAGACATCTAGTTGATGGGCTATAAAAGCATTACACAGCAGGCAACAGCATACAATTGAGTTCACTGGCTGTTTTCCCCTAAAATCAAATCCCCTTGAGGTATACATCGGACTTCCCCATCTTCCCGCATTACCCACCAAGTATATCCAGGTCCCTGAGCAAAAGCAATCCCACGAGTGGGTTTGCCTTTACCTGAAGCAGGAATAACCCAGACTGTCTTCCCCAGCAAATTCTTCATATGCACCACGGGAACTTTGTCCCCCTCTACAATATGTAAAAGTTCTGACTGGGCTGGGCCGGCCCTGTTGGCAGATCCTCTGGTGTTGACCAACCAGGTGGCCTTTGGTAAATGTGTATCCCAATGCTTGAAAGTTCCCCCACCCATCGCTCTCAGCGTAGTTTTTAACAGCCCATTGTACCGTTCGATTTTCCCAGAGGCTGGTGCATGGTAGGGGATGTGATATACCCACTCAATGCCATGCTCTTTGGCCCAAATATCTATAAGGTTATTCCGGAAATGAGTCCCATTGTCTGACTCAATTCTCTCTGGGGTGCCGTGTCGCCACAAAATCTGTTTCTCAAGGCCCAGGATGGTGTTCCGGGCAGTGGCATGGGGCACAGCGTATGTTTCCAGCCACCCGGTGGTTGCTTCCACCATGGTAAGCACATGGCGCTTGCCTTGGCGGGTTGGTGGCAGTGTGATATAGTCAATCTGCCAGGCCTCCCCATATTTATACTTCAACCATCGTCCTCCATACCAAAGAGGCTTTAACCGCTTGGCTTGTTTAATTGCAGCACATGTTTCACACTCATGAATAACCTGGGCAATAGTGTCCATTGTTAAGTCCACCCCTCGGTCACGGGCCCATCTATATGTTGCATCTCTGCCTTGATGGCCTGAAGTGTCATGGGCCCACCGGGCCAAAAATAATTCACCTTTATGTTGCCAATCTAAGTCCATCTGAGCCACTTCAATCTTAGCCGCTTTATCCACTTGTTGGTTGTTCTGGTGTTCCTCAGTGGCCCGACTCTTGGGCACATGGGCATCTACATGACGTACCTTCACCACCAGGTTCTGCACCCGGGCAGCAATATCTTTCCACAGTGCAGCAGCCCAGATGGGTTTACCTCTGCGTTGCCAGTTGCTCTGCTTCCATTGCTTCAACCACCCCCACAGGGCATTTGCCACCATCCATGAGTCAGTATAGAGATAAAGTACTGGCCACTTTTCTCGTTCAGCAATGTCCAGGGCCAGCTGGATGGCTTTCACCTCGGCAAATTGACTCGATTCACCCTCTCCTTCAGCAGTTTCTGCAACTTGTCGTCCAGGACTCCATACAGCTGCCTTCCATCTCCGATGCTTTCCCACAATACGGCAAGAGCCATCAGTAAACAAGGCATACTGCTTTTCACTTTCTGACAGTTTATTATATGGTGGGGCCTCTTCAGCACGCACCACCTCCTCCTCTGGTGACATTCCGAAATCTTTGCCCTCTGGCCAGTCCATGATGACTTCTAGAATGCCTGGACGACTGGGATTTCCTATTCGAGTTCGTTGTGTAATTAGTGCAGCCCATTTACTCCATGTAGCATCAGTTGCATGATGTGTAGAGGAGACCCTGCCTTTGAACATCCAGCCCAGCACGGGCAGCCGGGGTGCCAGGAGGAGCTGTGCTTCAGTGCCAATCACTTCCGAAGCAGCTCGAACCCCTTCATAGGCTGCCAGTATCTCTTT